TTTTGTAATCTCCCTTTGGCATGTACTCCTGAGGAGCAGCAAGCAGAACACAAACACACCCCTGTAACAAGGGTGAAGATAAGGAAGCGATACACCACACTGACCACAGAGCTGAAGAAGTAGAAAAAGTTGAAGTGTGCAAATATATTGATTCTATGACAACATATACGTCAGTGCTTTGTACCCAATCAGCACGTAAGACAATTTACCCTCCTGATGGCTTGATGTAAGCAAAATGTATAAAAAATATATCCCGGGCACCCATAAGGTGCGCAGTCTGTACCTTCTTTCTGCAGTCTGAATAAACTGAAGCTTTTCCACGCTGGTGTGATTATTGGCTTGGGTCACCCCCAGCATTGGACTCTTAACCGTAACAGTTGCAATTGCTGGAACACCTTGTCCCTCTTCCCAAGGACAAAGGAGCAATCTGTTGGAGGTGGTAGAAGGCTCTGTTGCATGATAAAGGCTTCAGGTTTCCCTGCCAGCTGGAAAATAACTCTAGTTCAGTCCCATAATTCCCAGTGAAAGAGGTCACATGCCTCTTTTTCCAGGGAGCAGACAAGCCTGAGAACTCTCCTCTGTGCAACCTGCTACCACAATCCTTTTCCCCAAGGTAGAGCTTTCCTTCCTTGTGGAGGGAATAGGCGAGAGCAGGTGGTAGAAGCATGGGTGTGTTCAGAATGGAGAAAAGGGTCCATTCATGGTAACCTATGATTGCCTCGAATTTGCTGTTTTCAGCTAAAGCAGAGGTGTTTACTTCACCCTTGGATTCCTGCACTGTTTATTTGATTTATCAATTGTACCCCATGAGGCATCCCGAAGCAGTAATAAATAACATACATAATGCTGTTTCATGCATAAAAATAGTTAAAACAATTGCACACTGGATAAAGAACATTTTAAACAATTATATATAAAAGCAGTTTGAAACACCAATAGCACATACCCAAAATCAATTCAAAGCCAACAAAGATACCAACTGGGATAAAGATCTCTATTTAGAGAACTCATTGAAAGATGAACGTCTTTAGCGACTGTCAAAAAGACAATAAAGAAGAGTGTACATTTTATACTACCGACTACTGCTTTCTGATTTCCACTGTATACATGAGTTTTGGCATTATGAGATGTATCATATTTCTATTTTAATTACAGTAATTATTTCTAAATGTGCACAGCTACATATAAATTAGCACATGCCGATTGTACTCAGATCTGTACTCTCTTTGTGGTGGAGATTCTTCTTTAGTCTGAGGTCCATTCTCTCCCATTCCATTCTGCAGTATGCATTTCTGTGCATTTTTCTTATATAATAGGGTTGCTATATTTAAAAAAAAAATCCAGACACAAAAATTGTTCAGCTTTTTTTTTTTTTAGTTTTGCCCAAACTTGTTGAGCTTTTTCTGCAGTAAGCTTTTTAGCTCTTTTTAAGGAAATTCACCAAAATCTAGACTTCCGACATCGGTTGCCATACATCCAGATTTTCCTGGACATTTCAGCAACTTCCACCCAGACGCTGCTTCCAGATGTATGGCAACCCTATTATATAAGATATGCACTTTCCAATGCATTCATGGGTAAAATACACAATCGGTGTGAACCTTTTGTATAAAATGCGTATCTCTGAGCATGCTCTCTGCACACAGAAAATGCATGGCAATACGTGTATTCTGACTGGAAGTCGTCTTCTGATCCACAAGGAAGTTTTGGGATGCTTGATCAGGCCAGTCCACTATGAAAAGCAGACAAAATGAGTTCTTCCCCCACCCCTAGCAAGTGGTAGGTCAGAATAGATTAATAGGAAGCTGCATTATAGTGAGTCTAACTATTTGTCCATCCAGCTCAGTATTTTCTCCACTGACTTGGCAGTGGCTCTTCAAGGTTTCAAGAGAATCATAGAATCATAGAGTTGGAAGAGACCACAAGGGCCATCGAGTCCAACCCCCTGCCAAGCAGGAAACACCATCAGAGCACTCCTGACATATGGTTGTCAAGCCTCTGCTTAAAGACCTCCAAAGAAGGAGACTCCACCACACTCCTTGGCAGCAAATTCCACTGTCGAACAGCTCTTAGTGTCAGGAAGTTCTTCCTAATGTTTAGGTGGAATCTTCTTTCTTGTAGTTTGGATCCATTGCTCCGTGTCCGCTTCTCTGGAGCAGCAGAAAACAACCTTTCTCCCCCTCTATGTGACATCCTTTTATATATTTGAACATGGCTATCATATCACCCCTTAACCTCCTCTTCTCCAGGCTAAACATGCCCAGCTCCCTTAGCCGTTCCTCATAAGGCATCGTTTCCAGGCCTTTGACCATTTTGGTTGCCCTCCTCTGGACACGTTCCAGTTTGTCAGTGTCCTTCTTGAACTGTGGTGCCCAGAACTGGACACAGTACTCCAGGTGAGGTCTGACCAGAGCAGAATACAGTGGCACTATTACTTCCCTTGATCTAGATGCTATACTCCTATTGATGCAGCCCAGAATTGCATTGGCTTTTTAGCTGCCGCGTCACACTGTTGGCTCATGTCAAGTTTGTGGTCAACCAAGACTCCTAGATCCTTTTCACATGTACTGCTCTCAAGCCAGGTGTCACCCATCTTGTATTTGTGCCTCTCATTTTTTTTGCCCAAGTGCAATACTTTACATTTCTCCCTGTTAAAATTCATCTTGTTTGTTTTGGCGCAGTTCTCTAATCTGTCAAGGTCGTTTTGAAGTGTGATCCTGTCCTCTGGGGTGTTAGCCACCCCTCCCAGTTTGGTGTCATCTGCAAATTTGATCAGGATGCCCTTGAGTCCATCATCCAAGTCATTGATAAAGATGTTGAATAAGACCGGGCCCAAGACAGAACCCTGTGGCACCCCACTAGTCACTCTTCTCCAGGATGAAGAGGAACCATTGATGAGCACCCTTTGGGTTCGGTCAGTCAGCCAGTTACAAATCCACTGAGTGGTAGCATAGTCAAGACCGCATTTTACCAGCTTCTTTACAAGAATATCATGGGGCACCTTGTCAATGCCTTGCTGAAATCAAGGTAGGCTACATCCACTGCGTTCCCTTCATCTACCAGGCTTGTAATTCTGTCAAAAAATGAGATCAGGTTAGTCTGACATGACTTATTTTTCAGAAATCCCTGCTGACTATTGGTGATCACAGCATTCCTTTCTAGGTGCTCACAGACTGTTTGCTTAATGATCTGCTCCAGAATCTTCCCTGGTATTGATGTCAGACTGACTGGGCGGTAATTATTTGGGTCCTCTCTTTTCTCCTTTTTGAAAATAGGGACAACATTTGCCCTCCTCCAGTCTGCCGGGACTTCGCCTGTTCTCCAGGAATTCTCAAAGATGACTGCCAGTGGTTCTGAGATCACATCTGCCAGTTCTTTTAATACTCTTGGATGCAGTTCATCTGGCCCTGGAGACTTGAATACATCTAAACTAGCCAAGTATTCTTGTACTATCTCCTTAGTTATTCTGGGCTGTGTTTCCTCTGCTGAATCATTTGCTCCAAATTCTTCAGGTCGGGCATTGTTTTCTTTATCGGAGAAGACTGAGGCAAAGAAGGCATTGAGGAGTTCAGCCCTTTCTGTGTCCCCTGTTTGCATTTCACCATCTTCTCCTCTGAGTGACCCCACTGTTTCTTTGTTCTTCCTTTTGCTACGGACATACCCATAAAAGCCTTTTTTTTGTTGCTTTTAACCTCTCTAGCAAGCCTGAGTTCATTCTGTGCTTTAGCTTTTCTGACTTTGTGTCTACACGTGCTGGCTATTTGTTTGAATTCCTCTTTGGTGGTTTCCCCCTTTTCCATTTTTGTACACATCCTTTTTAATCTTAACTCAGTTAAAAGTTCTTTAGATAGCCACCCTGGCTTCTTTAGGCACCTTCCATGTTTCCGTCTCATTGGTATTGCCTGACGTTGTGCTTTTACTATCTCCTCTTAACAAACTCCCAGCCATCATGAACTCCTTTCCTTTTAGTATTACTGTTCATGGGATCTCACCCAGCACTTCCCTAAGTTTTATGAAGTCGGCTTTCTTAAAGTCAAGAAATTGAGTCCTAGTATGCTTGGCTGCTCCTTTCCGCTGTATAGTAAACTTCAGAAGAGCATGATCACTCGCGCCTAATGATCCTTCCACTTCTACCCCACTAACCAGGTCATCAACATTGGTTAGGACCAGATCTAAAATGGCTGTTCCTCTTGTTGCTTCTCCCACTTTCTGGACAATGAAGTTGTCTGCAAGGCCAGTGAGGAATCTGTTTGACCATATGCTCTTGGCTGAGTTTGACATCCAACAAATATCCGGGTAATTGAAGTCCCCCATTACTACTATCTCCCTTCCTTTTGCATGCTTGGCCATCTGTTCCAGGAAGGCATCATCTATGTCCACCGCTTGGCTTGGGGATCTATAGTAAACTCCCACAATGAGGTCACTGTTATTCTTCTCTCCCTTAATTTTGACCCAAATGCTCTCACTTTGGCTTTGAGGTTCTAAATCTTGGATCTCTTCACAGGTATACACATCCCTGACATATAACGCCACTCCTCCTCCTTTCTTGTCTGGTCTGTTTCTCTGAAATAGATTGTATCGCCCATTATTACATTCCAATCGTGGGACTTATCCCACCAGGTTTCAGTGATTCCTATTATGTCATATTTAGTTTGCTGTACCAAGAGCTCAAGCTCATCTTGTTTATTTCCCATGCTTTGCGCATTAGTGTACAGACACTGAGGTCCATTAATCATTCCCCCGTGTCTCTTATTTAAGGATTTTTTTCCTCCCACCACTAGGTCTGCGTGCTGTTTGCTCCATTTGGTCTATGACATTTGGATGATCATCTTAATCAATTGATAGACTCCTACCTTCAGGAGCACTGTCTCCCTCCCCCACATTAGTCAGTTTAAAGCCCTCCTGATGAGGTTTCTGAGATTTTTGGCAAAAACATTTCTCCCAACCGTTGTGAGGTGCAGCCCATTCCCAGCCCTACCTGCAGATACTAGGGCATTCCCAGCCCTACCTGCAAATACTAGGGGTTGAACCTCAGACCTTCTGCATGCAAAGCAGATGCTCTACCTCTGAGTTAGGGCCCCTCCCAAAACAGCTCTCTGTCAAAACCCCTGGAGGAGAAAGCAAGCCGTTGCCCATCTCTATGTGGGAGCTCTTGTTTCTGGTGTTGGCATACAGATGTAGGGGATTTGTGTAAGGCTGCACAGCCTATTGTCAAGGAATGTGCTTATATTGCTAATGGCTGAAGACATATGCTGAGGTTTAACAGCTTTTTGATGCGCTTTTCTCTGAATATTGCCAGAAGATGTAATTTTCGATTTTGGAGTTTGTAACCTTTTATTACGGCTGCTGGAGAAGGTAGCAGTCAAACTGCACCCCCGAATTTTACTCACGATTGCACTTGAAATATTGCTGAATATACTTCAGTTGCTTATTTGAGTCTGCACAGAGAGAACCAACAACCATTATCTGATAAAGTGAGTTTATTGCAATAGCATGACAAACATTTGTTATAAAGAAATGCTTTATTTGGCCCTGCATTTTTCAAGCACTGATATACTAATCCCACCGAGTGGTTTCATTTCAGGGCTGCTGTTGTTTCACTTTTGTATTACTTGTCAAAAACAACTTCACTGGTGACCAGTATACTACTGAATACAATTCAAATAACAGTACTAGTTTTAACCTTTGCAGTAGGGCTGATGAAGAATCCTGGCATGAAAATGCAAAAAGGAACAGAATTTGTCCCATGTATGGAATGTAAATCAACTGAGCAAATATGACTGGTATTTGCTGTTGTTGTCACTGTCAGTGTGCAAACAATATGTGATTGAGTACATTTCACCCAAATTGCATTGTACTTCATTTGGACTGAGATGAATGGGGTATAATAATGTAATGATGACATAATTACATAATTTACTCATGTAATTTCCACACAGCCAACCGTGAGATGAATAACATAGGTTTTGGTGGAAGGTGAACGGAAGCAGAACAGAACCAGTGCTACATGCAACTAATACAGGGTACAATGGAGAACAATGCCTTTTTACATTCTTCTGTCATGGACTGGATGGAAGGAGAGGAGTGGTGGGAGACAAGGGAGCAAGGGAACCCCCAAGGGAACTCGCAGGGGAAGAAGGCTCAGAGCTAGGAGAACGGTGGTGGGATGATGATGCATGGTCAGAGGGAGAAGAAGGAGCAGACTTGGAGGAGGTGATGTTGGAAGCTGAAGAGGGAAGAAGGTTTAGTGAGCAGGAGGAGGCTATGGCAGAAAGAAGTCCAGACAAGCAGGAGAGAGGGGGGCAGGAGACAGAGATGAGGCAGGCTGCTGAAGAAGCCAGAGAGTCTCCCTCTCCTGCTGTGACCAGCTCTACTCCCCGCTGGTCTACCAGAACATACAGAGAATTGAAGAGGGTGGAGCAAAGACAGGCAAGACAAAGGAGCCTCAGATCGCTTAGGAAGGCTAGTAGGGGAAACCTATGGCTGAAAACTGGCAAATAAAAAACCCGAGATGTTGAGGTTCCAGGAACAGAAGCCAGTGTTGCTGACAGAATTTGCAGACCCCGCAAGCATATGTGAACTAATGTTAGGCCTTTGGTGTCCAGACTGCATAGAACAGCGATGGCCAAACTTGGCCCTCCAGTTGTTTTGGGACTACAATTCCCATCATCCCTGACCACTGGTCCTGTTAGCTAGGGATGACGGGAGTTGTAGTCCCAAAACAGCTGGAGGGCCAAGTATGGCCATCACTGGTACAGAAGAACTGACATTACATCAAAGGAGGCAGTGTAAAGGGCATTGGTAGTGCAGTACATATCTACTTCACTGCCACATAAGAAGATGCCTTATACTGAGTCAAACCACTGGTCCATCTAGCTCAGTATTGTGTAAACTGATTGGCAGAGCCTCTCCAGGGCTTCAGGCAATGAGTTTTTCCTAAACCTACCTGGAGATGCCAGGGATTGAACCAGGGACCTCCAGCCTGCAAGGCACTGAGCTATTATTCTTCCCTGCCTATAAATACAAATCAGATTTCAAGAAATTAGAACAAAAGGCACCAAACAACCAAAAAATCAAACAGACATCAACTCTCCATTTCTTCTTCTTTCTAAACAGGCAAGACTTTCTGCAGCAGGAGTTTCTAATCTCTTGGGTCCCTTGAGCACGTTTTAAGAAAGTGCTGTTTGTGTCAGTCACAAAATGGCCAGTTGTATGTGTGTGTTGCTGAATACAAAATGGATGCCTCTTCAAAAAGAACAAAAAAGAGACAGGACCACAAAATGGTTTAGGCATCCCCACCCCACCCCCTTCAAAGGGCACCCATATCAACCATTGCCACAACAGGTCCCAGGGAGAAGTTCAAAGAACTTCTCCTCTGTTCAGAATGGAAGGGTGGGTGTTCAATTCCAGCATCCAATAAAATGTGGGCCTGTTTAAGGGGGCATGTTCAATGTTGGAGAAGCCAAGCTGTGAAGAGAGGAATGTGTCAGGAGTTCAGCCTACACTCGAGCAGGACCCTGGCTGAGATGCATGCCCGACTGGCATGTTCTATCCCTCCTGGTCGATCGTTCGGGAGCTTCATAAGCTTTCTTTTGCCCGAACATCACAGCGACCGATGCCAACCGACACCGGCACACTTAGAGATCCACAGAGTTTGCGCAGTTGCGTAACAGACCTCAGCAACTCAGCATTTTGACTAATCTACTTTATTTACATATAAACACACACGGAGCACTGCAACATGGCTTCCTCTCTCTCTAGCATAAGACAGCAAAGAGAAAAAAGAACAAAGGACAATAGTCCTACTTCATGGAACACAATAACACAAACATCCTGACTCCGTCACTTCCCACTCTGTGGAGTCAAAACATATACCGTCATGTGAAAGACAAAAATCCCATGGCTGCAATCATGATGCAGGAATTCTAACAGAATGGAACAGGAAAAGCAATCCATCTCTCATTCACTGTGCATTTTTTAGAGGATATTTATTGAATCCTTTCATGGACACCACAGTGGGCATACAGGTAAAGAGGTCACCTTTATTGTTTAGGGTAGGGGAATGGGGAAATAGTCAAAGAATAAATTATAATGAGACGATCTGATCTAAGGCTGCTTAGAAATGAGAGCAGCCCATTTCGGCAACCAGTTGCCAGTAGAAGGGGTCCCCCACCCTGCATCACCACCCTGCAATTTGCAAACTAATATAAGCTGGTCTGCTTGTGCCACTCTGTTCTTTAGATCCTTTTGGCAAGAACACCCAGGGAATCTTGGCCGTGCCTGATCTGAATGGCAATAGATTTGCACCAGCTGCAAAGGCAGGATAGCACTAACTCCCTAAATGGTCAAAAGATGCATTTGAGAAGAAACAGACTGACATGAGAAATGACAACATCAGAGATCTATCCAACACCATCTTAGCCAGCTTGGAAGTGGCATTAAATAGATATGGGAATTTGATGGCAGGAAGACAACAGCTCTTCTCCCAGATGGGATAAAATGGTGGGGAGGGGGTTCCTCTATCCTTGGAAAACTCAAATGCATTTATTTTTATATTTTTAAAAATACAACTAGAGGTCAACAGCTATAAAATGATATGCACTGTGTGGCTTTAGTAAAATAAAAATGACAGGCATGTAATGAGTGGGGGGTATGGGCAAAGGTAAAGGTGTTGAATTCAGAAGGAAGAATCTCTCTGTTTGCAGTTCTTATGAGCACTGACAGTGCTTGAACAAACACTACGTACCCTGCAATATTTCATAGATGAAAACTGGGGCACCTTTGTTAACATCACTATTCTCATACGGAAGATCATTTCCCAAGTCTCAGACCACCCACACATACACAGACAGCCTATTACACATTCCAGAAAGCTCTAAGCTGTCTGTTTTCTGCTGTGTTCATTTTCTCTGCAAATCCCTGACCCCTACTGATTTCAAAAGCCAAGACAGAATTTGTTCCTGGGGTTAAAACATGTAATTATCTGATAAAGTGTGATCAAAGTTCAAAATATACCCAAGCAACTGCCTGGTGCTTTCGTTCTCAGGCTCACACATGTGTCTGCACATGCATGTGCACTAATGAATTGACCCTCCAGCCAGAAATGCAGCCCTGAAGCCAGACAACTCACACACAGCACGGTACCAAAAATGTAGCAAGGCATCCACCCAATAAGCCAAAAATTAGGTCAAATTAAAAAAGGGAACAAGAAACAGGGATCTGTCCTGGTTAATAGGGATAATTGGAGTATCAGATGCATTTGCTTCCCTAAAGGTAAAGGGACCCCTGACAGTTAAGTCCAGTCATGAACGATTCTGGGGTTGCGGAGCTCATCTCGCTTTAAAGGCTGAAGGAGCCGGCATTTGTCCGCTCTGCAGACAGTTTTTCCGGGTCATGTGGCCAGCATGACTAAGCCGCTTCTCGCACAATGGAATACCAACACCAGAGCAGCACAAGGAAACGCTGTTTACCATCCTGCCAGAGCGGTACCTATTAACCTACTTGCACATTTTGGGGTGCTTTGGGGTGCTGGCAGGAGCTGGGACTGAGCAACAGGAGCTCACCCCATCATGATCGGCAAGCCCAAGGCTCAGCGGTTTAGACCACAGAGCCACCTGCATCCCATATGCTTCCCTAAAGCCATGCCCATATTGGTCTAACAAGACAGGAACAGTAAAAGGTTATGCAAATATGTTTGGTTTTTTTTATTTGGTTTCTGGAATTTGGCTGGGTTCCCTGCCACGTTGAGCCTATTTTATGGTGAATATATAAACATGCACCATTTTTAAAAAAAATATAAAGGGAACAGTATACTGCACTGTTTCTCATCACCTAAAGCAGGTGTGGAGAACCTTTAACTTTCCAGATGTTGATAAACTACAATTATAATCATCCCTGGCCATTGTCCATGCTTGGTACATCTGGAGGGCCAAAGGTTTCCCCAACCACATCGATAGCTATAGACAGAAAGAGTCTACTTGCCTTATGTGCAACTCCAATGCTACCCTCAGGGCAAAAGGGCAAAGGGAAGAACTTGTTTCATACGAAGCAAATGTGCAAGAACAGTTTCTCTTTTCCC